CCCCGCCCTCGGCGCGCAGGGAGCCAGTGGGCGCGTGTGCAGGGGGCTGAGCAGGGCCGGAGCCCACGCGGGCCAGGGCAGCCTGGGGAGCTTCGCTGGGCCGGGAGGAAGCGAAGGGGGAGACACCCGGTGCAGGCAGACAGGGAGTGCTGCGCGGGGCTCACCAGGTAGACAAGGAGAAGGAGCCCCACGTCCCTGCAGGGAGCTGGGGCCCCTGGGGCGGGCTGGCTGCCCGGGAGTCCAGCTGGACACAGCCTTGTGCAGCCCTCGCGGCCTCCCAGCCTGAGCTGTCGCTCCAGGCCCGGCAGGCCCTCGTGGGAGGCCTCGGCCTGTCTCTGCTTGGACAGGACTTACCTGGGGGGCGTGGCCTGCGCACACACCTGCTCCCGTCAGGCCCTTTCTAGGCTTCCTGCAGCCCCCCTCCCTCCCCATCATGGCGGCTCCTGCTGGCTCTGACCTGCCAGGGCGCAGCCTGGGCGTGGGTGGGCCCCAGACGTGCCCGTTGGCACACGCGAGGCCACCAGGGGCCAGCTTGGCTTGCTCAGAAGCACCCTGGGGCTCAGAAACACCCCGGGGAGTGTGTTCCTGGCTCGGGAAGCCCGAGCAGCTACGAGGACACAGCGGGACGTGGGGGAGCGGGCAGGGCCCGAGGAAACCCCTGGGAGCCCGTCACCCGCTGGCCGGAGGTGCCAGGAGGCAGGGCTGTGCTCCGGGCCTCGAGGACTTGGGGGAAGCACCGCACACCCCAAAGGCTGCAAACGCAGCAAACGAGAAACTTCGTGTGTGGGGGGGGTTTGGGGAGGGGCGCGCAGTGTCATTATGTCAGACACAAAACAGCAACCTGCACCTGCCCCCCAAAGACAGCAAGAGCAAGAGTGAGGTCCCAGACGGGGCAGTGGAAAAGCGCAAATAGGCACCCGATGGGGAGTGGGGGTGCAGCGGGGGAGGGGCACAGGCAGGATGCTCTTGATCACGCAGGGGACAGAGATGTCACCTCAGAGTTGCAGTGATGTGAGCGAGCGCTACAGGTCGAGTCAAGAAAAGTGACCAGCCATGGGGAGAACATGAAGCACCCCAGAAGGCCGCAGCCCCAACTCTTTACTGAACGCAGGGTTCCCGCCCGCGCGGAAGCGAGGGCCTCCTTCTGCGTGGGGGCGCTGGGCTCCCCCAAGCTGCGCTGCCATGCGTGAGGCGAGCCTGTGCGCCTAGTTGGTTGGGGCGGGAGCCTGGGGTGGGGGCACCGTCTCTCCGCCTCAGGAGCTACTCGGATGCGTTAAGCCTCGATCTCTACACACAGCTCTAAGGTCTCTCAGCTGAGACCACCAGAGGAGCCTGCGTCTCTCACATGAGCACATGAGTTCTCGTCTTGTGTCCGATGCGCTTTTCCTCTGGTGGAGGTTCCCTGTTGGATTTTGGGGAGTCTTCCCATACGGCCTCGCGTCTGCCTTTGTGTGGCAAGCCCCTTACCTGTGCAGGTGAACAGGCAGCGTCAGTCAGGCAGCAGCCTGGTCTCTGCTCTTTCCAAGGAACAAGAATCCAGTGAGGCTGGAGCAGGGTGAGAAAGGGGGTGACGTCCATAGGCAGTGGGAGGGCCCCAGCGCTTAGGGCCTTAGAGGCCCCTGAGGGTCAGAACTCGGCACCTGGCACGAGAACTGAAGGCCTTTTCCGGGCGCGCCGAGGCGTCCAGTGACTGACTCACACTTTCTAAAGGTGATGCCGGCTGCTGGCTTGTGTGCACAATACAGAGGACCAAGGTCTCGGGCCGGCGCGCTCACCACCATGCTCACTTTCCAGCGCGTGAGGGGTGAAGGCCACCTGTGCCTGGTGCTGGCCCAAACATGCTGAGAAGCGTGTGCATTGAAATGGGCTCTGGAATGTAAAGCCGGCCAGACTTTGGAGAATGCAAAGAAGTCAGGGGATGGTTGCCAAGTTCTTCTCGTGAGCAACTACTTGGCCGGGATGGTCGTGGCTGAAGGGGCTGGCGGCCAGCGGAGGCACTGGGCAGGGAGGGCTCAGCTGCGCTGCTCACAGCCCATCCTGCGAGGTGGGACGTGGCCCTGGCTTTTGAGAGGCCCCTGGAGACTACTGAATTTTGTGGAGCCATTGAAGTATAGACGGCATTGTAACAGCGCTGTAGAGAACAGTAGCGGCCCAAAGCGTGGCTGCTAGAATATTCCAACATGAAGGGGCCTGGAAGAGCAGACACTGACTTGACGGATGAGGTAGGATAAAAACGACAGCGGCGTGGCCCCTTGGAAGCGGGGTGCGGGAAGTGGATCGTGGAAACCAGGTCACGTGTGGGGGCTCATCAGCTTCATGGAAACGCTGCCCCCCGATCAGGGAGAAACGCCCCACTGGGCCCCATGGTGCCATCCGTGACCTGTGCCAAGCGGTGCCCTCTGGTGCTCCTGGCAGAAGCCTGGGTGAGGTACCTACGTCCTAGATAGGCCTTGAGGAAGGAGGACACGGTCACTCAGGCTCTGGAGCCTCTTGTAACGATGCATCATTGTGAACAGCAAAGGGCCCCAGACGTAGAGGGCAAATAACAGCCCAGATCCCCAGAGCGGGAAGCCCGTGTCCTGTGTGAGGCTGTATCATGGGTATAGGCTGGGCCAAGATCTCAGCTCCACCGCCCACGGAGGGACTCTGCTCTCTTCGCAGAAGGGTGCGCAGCGTGTCCGGGATGTCTCACAGAGTTGTCCTTACGTGTAGTTCAGCAGTCAGAAACGGTGCGTGTGATGTGATCACCACCAGCTCTGCTGCTTCACACAGACAGTGGGGTCGGGAATGGAGCTGAGCAGCCTCTGCTCTTGTGCCAACAAGTGAGGGCACTCAGCAGGCCTGGGGAGATGGTGCCTCTCCAGCTTCCTCATAGAGAAATTGAGTGGATTCGTGGAAATGCTCAGTGAGAAATGTCTAAGCCCTGACATTCTCTGATCATCCATTGCAAAGAAAAGTGTGTGTGTGTGCACATGTGTGAAATTTATATAAACATGACTAGAGGTTGAGATCAAGAAAAACATACAGGAGTACAGAGAAGCAGTCACAGACATTGCTGAGTTCCAGAGACAAGAGTAGACGGTAAATGAAAACCCCTGTCTTGATTTTCTGAGAAGGGAGGCTGAGAAAGAAACCGAGCAAGAAGGGGAAGCGGAGTAAGGTCAGGCTCAAGTCAGCGGGAGGGGAGGGAGGAAGGAGGCGCGCCCAGCGGGTGTGCCTCAAGTCAGGCACAGTGCGTGCTTTGAGAAAAGCTTTTCCTTGAACCACTCTTCCAAAGCTACTTTTCTTCACCGTTCAGAGCAGTAGCTATCTACTTTCTTATCCCAAGGAAAGGGAACTTTCAAGCGTTGACTTGGGTCCACTGCATGGAATGAGGCCATTGAATCAAGACTAAGTCCTTGAGAGCTGGCCTGGCCGGGGCCCCCACGGGCCCACCGGCTCACCCGTGGCTGAAACAGGCCTGAACTGCGAGTGAACAGCGAGACAGAAGCCTCTGAAACGGCTGCGCGCAGGGCTGACTGGAGCCCGGAGCAGTGGCGGGACTCGGAGGGCCAGTGAGTCGGCCAGATGGAGGGCTGGAAGGAACTCATGTTAGTTAGAACCGGGGGGTGTAGTGAGCTGGGGCTTCTGTCTTACTCTTTAACAACAAGTAGTCACTTGATCCTCTCTCCTAATTTGGTTAAAAGGGTGTGTGTGTTGGGGGGGGGAGGGTCCCTCTGAGGCAGAATGATGTCTTCAGACCCAAGGTGTTACTATCTCTAGTGGGATCTGTGAGGTTAACTGGAATCCAAAAGCTAAAAAGGACCTTCTGACTTCACGTAGAAGGTTCTGTCCCTCCAGTCACTTAAAGCGTTGAAGCTACTGTGGTGTCGCTAATTTGACTTAAAAAAGTCCCCTACCCCTTCACGCCCCAGCCTCTTTACTCTTGCTGAAAGAGCTGCCTGCTTTTTCTTACAGCTCACAGTTCCCCCAAATCCCAGCTTGTCTTGTTGAGTTTTGGGTCCAGGACCTAAGGTGTTCTCC